ATATGTTACTAAATGTTTATTAGAAACTGATCTGTCTCCAGACTTTTGTTCCTGTTATTACTAGAAACTCAACTGTCTCCAGACTTTTGTTACTTACTATAACTAGAAACTCACCTGTCTCCAGACTTTTGTTCCTTGCTATAATTAGAAATTGACCTGTCTCCAGACTTTTGTTCCTTTTATAACTAGAAACTCACCTGTCTCCAAACTTTTGTTCCTTGCTATAATTAGAAACTGACCTGTCTCCAGATTTTTGTTCCTTTTATAACTAGAAACTCACCTGTCTCCAGTCTTTTGTCCCTTGCTATAATTAGAAACTGACCTGTCTCCAGACTTTTGCTCTTTTTACAACTAGAAACTCACCTGTCTCTGGTCTTTCGTTTCTTTTATAACTAGAAACTCACCTGTCTCCAAACGTTTGTTCCTTTCTATATCTAGAAACTCACCTGTCTCCAGTCTTTTTGTTCTTGCTATAATTAGAAACTCACCTGTCTCTGGTCTTTTGTTCCTTGCTATAATTAGAAACTCACCTGTCTCTGGTCTTTTGTTCCTTGCTATAATTAGAAACTCACCTGTCTCCAGACCTTTGAAGGACAGAACTAGCCATATCCATTTGTTGACCACACACCACAAGGAACTGGGATTTCTCACTGTTCTTAGTTTGAACACAATTAAATGTAACTTTTTGACCACTAGCTTGTGCTGCCATATTTTGTAGAAATGTGTCTTTTTCTTGATTATTTCTGATTTGGTTCACCTGAAAAACATTAATAAACAATGACTCAGAATTAGTAAGAGTAATTTAACCAACGGTTACAGCTGGAAAGTAAATTAATATTATCTAAAACTGGTTCAAACAAAACCAGTATATTGTGAAACTCTTGGTTAGTAAAAACTGTGAAAACATGAGAGAGTTGGAAGATATAGGCACATTATATGACAACAGGTCTGAAGTCAGACACCACTGGAGGTATGATAACATGTAGAGAAGCCATCATTCCCAAAGCAGAAAGGATGCCTTTGGAAGTGGGTTCACAAGAGTCAAAGGCTTGCAATGCCACAAAAGATGGCAGAGGTATTCCTTGAACTGTATTGGTCCAAAACTCCAGCTGTACCAAACACTGTGTTAGTAAATGGGAATTGGAATTACTAATGATCCATCAAAGCAAGTCAGCCAGCTGGTTGACCATATGAATGTGAGAGACTGGGGGGACAAAATAAGCGAAACTCAGTTAAAATTAAAAGTTGATGTTGAATGAATGAGGAAGACTAGTAAAACTATACATTACTCAACACAAGATGTATGAAGCTGAAGAAAAGGTCAATGAACATACAATACCACTAAATGCAAAAGATGCTAATGGGATAATGGATGAACAATGACAGGAAGAAAAGTATCCTGTATATCCACCATCATCATCAAGGAAAAGATTAGTTGAGATAGGTCTCTTATCTACTGATTTCTTCAAAAAACACAAGGAAACAAAAGCAAAAACCTGGAGTAGTATGATAAATGATTTCTGATTTTTCAGTTTTGAAGGAGGTTTGAGACTTACTGATCCAGAATTTGTAAGCAACTGGATTGGAAGTGGAAATGAAGTTAAGAGCTGACTGAAGGGCTTATAAATTCCACTGATCTTACAGAAAAATCAAGGACCCATGACAACTCTCTCAACAGGAGAACTGGAAGAGAAGAGAGTAATTAAATGGGTCAAGAAGATTCCACATCTGGCCATTGGTTGAATTGGTGGTCACTGATGAAGAGAAGTATCTAACATCTACTGAAAAGTAGATGAAGGTTGAAAGAAAGGAGACAAACATTTCTTGCTGGTCACCATGAAAGGAATGACTCCCAGAAATAACTTGAAATGTTAATCAGCTCCTGCTTGCATGCTACTCCTGAACAAGACCAGTGTAGGTCAGCTCTCCCTGCCATGATGCTTCTCAACAAGACTAGTATGGGTCAGCTTCTGCTGGCATACAAAAAGAAAGTTTCAAAATGAGACAAATTCATAGTGTGAGTGACAGTACACAGACAATGCATAAGTGCAGAAGACCCACTGCTACCAAAAAATATTAATAATAATAAAATATCTGAGGGTGAAAAACTTAAGAAATTAGATGTGTACAGGAAGATAACCACATTAAAATACTATTAATATTTAACTGATTTCTGAAAGCATTATTAGCAATGACCTGAAAATCAGGAGAAGGTAAAAGATGAAAAATTCATGGACTGAATCATCCATCATGACATTAGCACTCTCAGACATGACAGAATTATTTCACAATTTAAAATCTATATACATAATGTGCTTGCATTTGTCTGTCCAGAACTTTTCTCACAAATTCTCTGATTAAATGCTATAAATTTCATATCATTAGAAAGACCTTTATCCGAGAAGTCCAAACTGTATATTGGCTTTTCCATTCAGAATCCCCTTACCTGTTTTTGGCTTAGTTAAACTTTTCAATGCAACAATTATGGTAAATGATGGTACAATGTTGTTGTCATCACGTGATGACTGGCTTTGATTTGAACTGTAGTTTTTTTATTTGCAAAGTATTTCACACAAACAACACTCACAGGTAATTTACTTAAAAAAAAAAAAAATAACATTACACTAAATACAATTTCTATGGGCTTTCTCGACTTATTCATGCCTAAAATATGCATGCACAGTTCCTTCAACACTTGTCACATTGTAAACACGCAATAAGATCTTTTGCATATTCAGCTAAGTTTGCCTTCATTACAACTTTAAATTTACTTACTTTACAATAATTTAGCTTTGCTTTGTTTCATAGAATGCTTTAAACACCTTTTAGCTTTTTTCTTTACTATGGGCTTTATACTTTGTTTTAACTCGTAAAATCGTTTCATACACTGAACTGTTTCACACTCTGTACACTATTGTTTATGTGTAGTTTTATTAAATAAAGTTATGTCTACGTGAGTAGGTTTGTCTGACCGTGTAATATTTTTTTCAAATAGACCATGACTTATTGATCTAACACATAACGTCTGCAAGCTTAAATGGTGTGCTTGAAAATGATAGAATAAGGAAAATTTAAGCGAATGGCACAAAAACTATCGCAAATGTTTTGTGGGTTGAGACTAGTAGAATATATATTAGAAAAAGATAAATCTGACCAGCAGAAGCTTCTTCATAATAAGGGCTGTTCTTCACACAATGAAGGTGAATAGGCCTAAACAAAAGATTTGTTTTATCATCATGAGAAAAGGGAAGTGTTTCACAACTTAGCATCATAACTGATGTGAAACTTTCCAGGGACACCAAAAAATAACAGAATTAATGGCCTGATCATCAGTAAGGGCTAATAATACAGCCATAAATGAACTCACTTCATGTTTGAAACAGACTAAATTAGTTTCCAAGGTAGTGAAAAAATTTATGATACAGCAGTTAATCATAACTTCCATAATAAGTAATGTTGACTGGAAGAATATGTGGTTCATGCTGGGAAAGCACGGCTTATGTACGATAACCTAATGCATGTGAAAGAGTGGGGAATTCTGAGTAAGTTGATATATGCATTTCAATGTGTCAAGGAAACTCAAAACTTTAATTACTGGGTTTCTGACAGCATGATAAAAAGGCTTTCAGTACTTCAGAGGTAAGTGTACCTGACTTGATTATGTTTAGTTTTTGAAAACATCAATATATATAGTGCTCTACTTTGAAGATCATTTCTTATTTTGTATCAAGCACTTCATACAGCACTGAAAGTGTGTTTCATCTGATTATAACTCATTTGAGCTGCACAGAAACACAAGATTTTTTGTGAATAATGTGAAAGCAAAGAAATATACAAGAAGTTTAAATGAAAAAGAGAGACTACTGATAATGTTTGAGTTCTAAATTATAGCAGCTGTAACATTCTTGCTGTTACACCTAAACAATTATGAACAATTTACTTATATTGGATTTTGAGTTTTAATGAAGCACCTAAATATTAGTGCTATCTAATCCAAAATATTTGAATAATTTACAGAAAACTCAAAGATTGTTCTTCAATGAAATACTGTGTAACATAGAAAGAAAAATATTTGAGTAAAAACATATAATTTGTATCACATGATGTTTTAAATTAATTTTTTATATACAAATAGGTCAACAAAACTTAAACTAACCACTCCATCATCTGTAGCACCTGATTGGCTGACCACAGTGTATCCAAGGTCTTCTACTGATATAGGATACAGGCTAGTGTCTTTACCCTTTAAGGAAATAAGCAAGGATACTTCAATAAAATTTACAGAAATGCTCAATTTGGAAAGCTACAAAATAACATGTACTCTGTACTTCTAAATGTTGTATGTATTATTTCTATACTTTACAGATTATAATTTACACAAACAGGTTGTGATTAGGTTTAATTTAATGCAAAACAAGTTATTTATCTGATAAAATGTGATAATTTTTCAGTTCTTTATATCAACATGTTTCACATGCATATTCCATCACCACATCATGAAAAGTACAACTAAACCTTGTGGGGAAAAAGAGGATACTTTTTTTAAAGTGTCCAAGTTTTGGGTCTTTTTCTTTCTTTAGTCACTTTGTAGTTACCCATCAAGTTATCTTGGTTAAAAAATGTATTTTTTTCTAGCCTGTAACTGTTAGCAGAGATGACAATAACTTTAATCAATTAATTCTGAGTATAAACAAGAAGAGTATAACAGTAAAAAGAAAGGCAATCAGAGAGTAACAACAAAAGTTGTAAGTCTCAATGACTCACAGACTGAAATACAGAAACCACCACTTGCAGAATCAATCTCTGAATTCATTTTTGTAACTTAAAAAATGAAGACTCTATTTCTGCAACTTTTGGTACAGTATTAAACTTTTAAGAGATTACCAAACCACCACCAAGTCAACCACTATGTATTGTTTAGGATTATCCCTCTCTTTTTCTAATACATTTTTTATTTATTAATAAAAACCCAAAGGTCACTACAGCACAGCAAAGAGAAACACAAAATAATCATCTGACTCCATACTGTCCCAAGTACAAGAATTCTACTTTGAAATCACTAAAATAGTAGCCTATTACTTTATATGTATGCAATACTATCTAACAGGTAAAACAAATATTTGAATTTGATATACAATAGTAGCTTATTATTGTATACGTGCTCCATACTATCTCTCTAATGAATGGAGAAGCCCTAAGTAAAATAACTCTCAGAATTTGGTACAATAGTAGCTTATTATTGTATACGTGCTCCATACTATCTAATAGATAGAGAAACCTAAAGTAAAATAACTCTCAGAATTTGATATACAATAGTAGCTTATTATTGTATACGTGCTCCATACTATCTAATAGATAGAGAAACCTCAAGTAAAATAACTCTCAGAATTTGGAATACAATAGTAGCTTATTATTGTATACGTGCTCCATACTATCTAATAGATAGAGAAACCTCAAGTAAAATAACTCTCTGAATTTGGTACAATAGTAGCTTATTATTGTATACGTGCTCCATACTATCTAATAGATAGAGAAACCTCAAGTAAAATAACTCTCAGAATTTGGTACAATAGTAGGTTATTATTGTATACGTGCTCCATACTATCTCTCTAATGAATGGAGAAGCCCTAGTAAAATAACTCTCAGAATTTGGTATACTACTAATCTCTATTATATGTTGAAGATACATTCAGCTAAATGGATATACATGTTAAAATATATAAAACATTTGTTTTTTGGAAAACAAATAAGAAGACCTTTTAGTAACATTTTAAATGTTAACAAATTCATCTTTATTATTTCTCTTCTTTAAGCTCCTAACTAACAATGTATATAGAGAAGTTTCCTTCTTATTCTTACCTGTTTACAACTGTTTTTTATAGGCCTAGCTTGCATATCTTCAGTTATAGCTGCATGTCTACATTTCTCTACTTGACCAGTGTTCAACAGAGTTTCATAATCTATGGTAATCTCTTGGACTCGTTCTTCTAAATGAAGACAGATCACCTGCTGTCTCTCTAGCTCAGCTAGTGCCTCTTGCTTATCTTTTTCAGCAGTCTGGATTTTCCCTGTGAGCTCTTCAACTTCTCTTAGCAACTAAAACAAGAACTCAATTTTGAACTGATTTACAAAGGAAAACTCAACATTATGAGGATGATAACATTCTAATCTAATATTAAAGACAAAATGAATTTTAAGTTCAACATATAGTAAATGTTTCTTATAATATAGTAGCTATGAGAATTCTCTAGTAGTTTTACTAATTAATATATAACTAATTAACCAAGTTAAACTCTTACTTTCATTTTTATATTATCCTGATCAGCCAGTGCTTTCTCTAGCTTTGCCACATGATTAGTTAATGAGTGATTGTCATCACGAAGTTTCTGGACCAGAACTCTAGACTCCTCAAATTTCATTCGATGGTTCTTGTGGACCTGGTTGATCTGATCTTGCCAAGCGATCAAGGTCTGAAACTTGGCTCTCATGTTTTTATTGTTCTGCTGTAGAAGCTCTTAACAGATAAAAAAAACATTTGCTTTATTCCGTAGGTGCAATCCTAAACTTTTGTAAACAATAACTAACTTGCATATTGTACAGAAGACAAAGAAAAGAATCTTTACGTACTGAGAGGTCAAAAACAATATACAATGTTTATAATTATAAAACAAAACACATTTAGTAACATATACAATGTTTATAATTATAAAACAAAACACATTTAGTAACATATACAATGTTTATAATTATAAAACAAAAACACATTTAGTAACATATACAACGTTTATAATCATAAAACAAAAACTAGCAAGGAACAAAAGTTTGGAGACAGGTGAGTTTCTAGTTATAAAAGGAACAAAAGTCTGGATACAGGTGAGTTTCTAATTATAGCAAGGAACAAAAGCTTGGAGACAGGTGAGTTTCTAGATATAGAAAGGAACAAAAGACTGGAGACAGGTGAGTTTCTAGTTATAGCAAGGAACAAAAGTCTGGACAGAGGCAAGTTTTTAGTTATAGAAAGGGACAAAAGACTGGAGACAAGTGAGTTTCTAGTTATAGAAAGGAACAAAAGACTGGAGACATGTGAGTTTCTAGTTATAGCAAGGAACAAAAGACCGGAGACAGGTGAGTTTTTAGTTATAGAAAGAAACAAAAGACTGGAGACAGGTGAGTTTCTAGTTATAGCAAGGAACAAAAGACCGAAGAGAGGTGAGTTTGTAATTATAGCAAGGAACAAAAGACTGGAGACAGGTGAGTTTTTAGTTATAGCAAGAACAAAAGACTGGAGACAGGTGAGTTTCTAGTTATAGCAAGGAACAAAAGACTGGAGACAGGTGAGTTTCTAGTTATAGCAAGGAATAAAAGTCTGGAGACAGGTGAGTTTCTAGTTATAGAAAGGAACAAAAGACTGGAGACAGGTGAGTTTCTAGTTATAGCAAGGAATAAAAGTCTGGAGACAGGTGAGTTTCTAGTTATAGAAAGG